CATTATGAATTGTTAATATAATGCATTATAAATAGTGTTAATAACATGTTATACTGTCAGTGCCAAAGAAGTCAGTCCCAGCTTGGAGACTGCAAAGTAAAGACAAATACCAAGCTAACGGTGGTGTACATTACCTTTCCCACATTGGGTAAAACACTGATGCAGCTCTAGTTTAAACTCTGACATTTGAAGCCTGTAATGTGCTTTACTGTGAATGTTTTAGTGTTTCAGTAAATCCTTCAGTAAATACTTCAACTTGAAGCCTCACTCTTAACACTGGAGGAGGCTTTAGTACAGTACACTTCACTTTACTTAGAGCGGACAAATACGACTTATGAGCTCTTATAATTTGTTATGATCAGTACTTATAATGTATTATGTTAACAATTCATAATGCATAATAAACATGGCTATAATGTGCAATGCATTTTTATAAATATTTATAGCCATGTTTATAATGCCTTATGAATGCATTATAACATGTTATGAATGTGTTTATAGATGCTTACAAAGGTGACATTCATAGAAAGTGTTACCGTAATGTTTTACCTTATAAACTTCTTACTTTTTTGGTAAATATGCATTCATTCTGAAATTGATGCCTGCAACATATTCCAAAAAAAAAAAAGGAGGAATTTAAAACTAGGAACGCAAAACAGGGGACGCAATCATTCTTGGGTATAAAAGGAGCATCCAGGAAAGGATGATCCTTTATGAGTGAGGATGGGTCAAGGCTCGCCACATTACACACTATGTAAGTGAATAATCCATTAAAAATAACCGTCCTCAGTGAGCAATTGCAAGGATTTTAGGTATTTCACCCTCTACGGTGCATAATAACATTAAAGGATTCAGAATATCTGGAGAAATCTCTGTGCGTAAAGGAAATTGTCAAAAACCACTACTGAATGTCCGTCACCTTCGACCCCTCGGAAGGCACTGCATTAAAAACTGTCATGTATCTGTGATGGAGATCACCACATGGGCTTGGAGATACTTTGACAAACCATTATCAATAAACACTCTTCATTGCTGCATCCACAAACGCAGGTTAAGACTGTACTGTGCACAGTGGAAGTCATACAACATCCAGAAACACCGCAAACCTCTGTGGATTCAAGCTCATCTGAAAATGACTGATGCTCAGTGGAAACAGTCATACAGTCTCAACTTTTTTGGAAATAGGTTTATATATATATATATATATATATATATATATATATATCTGTTCCCAAAGGATGCGTGTGCATACGCATTAGTATATGTATGTAATGATTATCCACTGTGGGCAAACATGAGCACGTGCCTCTGAGTGAGCGTGTGAATCACTGCTTGGCTCTCTGCACACTGCCAAAACAAGGCTCCTCGAGGAAGCTAACATTAAAGCTAGTGGCAGTAAAACACTCACACTAACAGCTACAGCTGACGGCTAAAGCCAGTGCCAGATACTGTATCACTGCTGTAAAAACCTGCACTGCAGTGCCAGGGGCCGTATTACAGAAACTTCCTATCTTTTCAAGGGTATTTTTTATCAATTTTTGCACAACTTCTTAAATCCTCCTTTAAAGGCTCTTCATATATCATGATCCTTCATATCAAAATGCTCCGTTATCTTCATCACTACTTTCCAAAACCGCTGCAGCAGCTTCAGCAGCTGTAAACTCTCTGCACGCCGTTTCACATGAGTCTCCGATGTGGACTGAATGAAGAATGAAGGGTTTCCGGCGTGATGGTCAGTCCTTAGCGATTTCCTGAGTGTCCTTTGGTCAGTTTCACACAGAATGTAGACGACACACGAATCCACCAGTTCCACACGGTGAGAGGCAGATGACGTGTATCTCAGCCCCTCTTCATAGGCTCATAACTCCGGATGTGAGTCACGTATGATCTCGAGATAAGATGGAATGGAAAGGGCGACTCTACAGATTCAGGAAGATTTATATTTATATTTATTTATATATGTTGTAAAAATAGAGAAACGTGGCTAACGTTACTCCTCCTAATAAACAGACACACGTTCAGCTCCGTCTCCTCATTATTCACCACCATCACTGTAATATTTCATCATCAACATTAACACACGAAGGTGATCAGAGGGGCGGTGGAGATCGAGTCTGCAGCGTCTGAGATCTTTAAAACGCAGAGTTAGAAAAGAAAATCATCTCACAGTGAAAGCAGCGTTTTACAGTAGAAATAAATGGAGCTCATTATGCTGGTAGTGAACTATGCTGCTGACACAGCTGCCTAAAAACCAGAGAAACGGACCTTAAACAGAAGTGAGGACCCTGTTGGGGTTCATCCTAAGGTTAGGACAGGATTTAGGAGGTTTAGTCTCGTTAGGATGTTTGTGTGATGCTGTTTTCTTATCTGGAGTTCATGATGAGATTATGAAGTTAGGAACTGATATTCTGTAATAGATACTGTTCGAAATTCAGTCCGTAATGAAGTCATCATGGAGACTAAAGAGATAAGATGGTGGATCATTCTCAGCACTGCAGTAACACTGACGTGGTGGTGGTGTGTTAGTGTGTGTTGCGCTGGTCTGAGTAGATCAGACACAGCAGTGCTGCTGGAGCTTTAAACACTGTGTCCACTCACTGTCCACTCTATTAGACACTCCTACCTTGTCAGTCCACCTTGTAGATGTAAAGTCAGAGACGATAGCTCATCTGCTGCTGCACAGTTTGTGTTGGTCATCCTCTAGTCCTTCCTCAGTGGTCACAGGACGCTGCCCACAGGACGCTGCCCACAGGACGCTGTTGGCTGGATATTTTTGGTTGGTGGACTATTCTCAGTCCAGCAGTGACGCTGAGGTGTTTAAAAACTCCAGCAGCACTGCTGTGTCTGATCCACTCGCACCAGCGCAACACACACTAACACACCACCACATCAGTGTTACTGCAGTGCTGAGAATGACCCACCACCCAAATAGTACCTGAAGATAAGAACTTCTTTCAACTGTTTAGAAAATGTGTGTGTGTGTGTGTGTCTTTGTTTTACATGATTAATTTTGATATTTTATTTAATTTTGTTGTGAAGCACTTTCAGCTTCATTTTTATGTATGAAAGATACTATATAAATAAAGTTATTATTATTATAATATTCGAGCTGAACATTTTTACCTTCCTAATGCAAGCAAAACTGTCCTGCTGCTCAGCCCCACCCTCAGTCCCCAGTTCCCTTTTCTGACTGGTTACTTCTTAAAAAGTAGAAAATTCGCTGCGTAAAAATGCGCTCTGCGTCGGAACAAGCGGAGCCTGCGGAACCCACGTCCTGGCGGAGGATATGAGAGCGTTTTTAATGGCGTCTGAATGCATGAATGAATCTTATATCTGATCTCCTCAGAAATCTCCTGAATGACTCTGTTCAGTGTAAATTAAATTAATGAAGGTCTCTGAGTTTTGCACAGTACTGTATGTAAATCCCTCAGTCCTCGTCCTCCTACACGCTCGCTCGCCTCCTCCCTTTCTTCTGTTCTCTTCAAACACACTCACACACTCTTTATTTCACTCTTCAAACGGATTTTCACTCTCACACACTTCAAACGGATTCCCTCACACACACACACACACTCACACACACACACACACACACACACACACACACACACACACACTCACACACACACACACACACACACTCACACACACACACACACACACACACACACACACACACACACACACTCACACACACACACACACACACACACACACACACACACACACACACACACACACTCACACACACACACACACACACACACACACACACACATACTGCTCAAATAGCCCCCTACTGTCCCCTTATATGAGCAGAGAAAAATAAGAGATAGACAGTAAGAGAAAAAGAGTGAGGCAGAGAGAGAGAATGAGAGAGAGAGAGTAGAAAGGAGAGAGACATAGCAAGAAAGAAAGAGAGACAGAGAGACAGAGAGAGAGAGAAAGAAAGAGAGAGAGAGAGAGAGAGACAGAGAGACAGAGAGAGAGAGAAAGAAAGAGAGAGAGAGAGAGAGAGAGACAGAGAAGCATCTGATTCTGTCATAACACTGAGGTTTCCACACAGCTGATCGCCCACCCTCTCTTCTTATCTCTCTCTCTCCCTTGCCTCTCTCTATCTCGCTCACTGTCCATCGTCCTCTGTCTCTCTCCCTCCTTCGCTCTCTCTCTCCTTTCTCATTTGCTCTCTCTCTCAGACACAGCAGTCGGAGTGAGAGAGACAGGAAGAGAGAGACAGAGAAGGAAACATGCAGAGAGAGAAACAGACAGAGAAGAGATGGAGAGAGAGAGAGCGAGAGACAGACAGAGAGAAAGCATCTGATTCGGTCATAACACTGAGGTTTTCACACAGCTGATCGCCCACCCTCCCTCCTTCTGCCTCTCTCTCTCTCTCTCTCTCTACCTCTCTCTACCTCTCTCCCTCAGACACCATGCTCTAATGTTAGAAAGAGGGAGAGAGACAGCAAGAGAGAGAGAGACATAGAGAGAGAGAGCGAGAGACAGAGAGAGAGAGAAAGCATCTGATCCGGCCACAGCACTAGGAGGTTTTCACACAGCTGATCGCCCACCCTCCCTCTCTCTCTCTCTCTCTCTCTCTCTCTCTCTCTCTCAGACACAGCACACTCTAACGCTACTATCTTTGCCGAGCCTGGCGCATACAGTCCTGCCACACGCCTCACTGCGCTCACATACGGAGGAGGCAGCACACGCACGCACACGCGCACGCATGCACAGCCAAGGCTACCCTGAGGACAGCACGCGCTTCGAGAGGCACGCACGGGCGACCACACGCCTACGGACGCTCAGTGTCAGAAAGGCACATGCCGCGGTCTCGGCGGCATAGCGGCGCAGGACGGGCTGCAGGCTGGGAATGTGAAGCCGCTGTTTGACGGCGACGGCTGCACTGGATTATTTGGCTTTCCCTCTTTCATCTTCCACTTCTTATTTCCTAATAATCTGCCTTCTTTTCCCCCCTCTCACCTTCCGACAACCCCTTTTTTCGTCTGTGGGGGGCTGCTGTTGCTACTGTGTCAGTGGGAGAATATTTTTTTATCGGATTACAGCATTCAGTGTTTCCCCTTTATCGCCCCCCCCCACACTACAAAAATAAACAGCCCACTGTGTTCACAGAGCGCTGAAAAGGACGGAGGACCAAAAGAGGCGGTGAGTGTGCCCGGATTTGCCTTTTTCTCACTTATCACACGCAGGTGAACGTGCGATCGTGACACATGCCAATTAGCATGCCAATACTGTGCACGGCGGAGTGAGTATTGATGTTAGGCTGGTCTCATATCTCAGGCTTCACAGGTTCAAGTTATATTTTATGCATTTTTATATCTGATGATGGCTTGTACATGGATGAGATCAGACCAGCTGTGAAAATCGGATGTTATCTATAACACACACAAACATCTACACATCTGCGAGCGCATGTGTGAGAGCATGAGATAGAGAGACAGAGAGATAGAGAGAGAGAAAGAGAGAGAGAGAGAGAGAGGGGTCAGAGAAGTGGGAATGCTGTTTAGTGAGGCTGAGCATGTGAGAGCGATGGCGTATGTCTTGCTGCTTCGACTGGAAGCTCCACATACTCTTCAAACGCGCTCCCTCCCTTCAGTCGGCGTTCGGTCTATGCACTGATAACTTCAACACTTACATAATTACTACAGTTTTTCATTGAAGACGTCTGTCTGAGCGAGCGTTTCGTTCTGAGTGTGTGCGTCTCCCCTCCTCTTGGAGGCTGCTCTCAATAATTGATGCCAGAGGCTTTAGTGCTTTTGTTACTAGCGTCTCTTTGTTCTGTTCCAGCCTCTATTAACTCTCAGCCTGGCCTGTGTATGTGCGTATTTGTATGTGCGGCGAATAAGCGTGCTCATATGTCTTTATAAGTGTGCGGGTATGTCTTTGTAAATAAAGCAGTGGTAGAAAAATAATGAGTTTCTGTTATCAGTCTTTGAACTAGATACACGTCTACAAACCAGGGTGTGATTATTATCAGTCGTGTAGTTAGTTAATTGCGATTAATAGCATTTGGCTCTAAAGAAAGATTTTATTCCAATTAAAAACAGTGCATTTTAGCTACATTCTAAAAAAGATGGTACAGTCAATGTGTCATATATTATATATACAGTCAACATGTGTATATATCATATATCATATATACAGTCAATGAGTGTAGTTATCATATATATCATATATACAATCAACAAGTGTACCTATATCATATATACAGTCAATGAGAGTATATATCATATATTTCATATATATAGTCAGTAAGTGTAGATATCATATATATTAGATAAATAAACAATGAGTGTATATATCATATACATTATATACACTTAATGAGTATATATAATGTATATCATATACACAGTCAATGACTATATATATCATACATATATATATATATATACAGTCAATGATGATATATATCACATATATCATATATACAGTCAATGAGAGTATATATCATATATTTCATATATATAGTCAGTAAGTGTAGATATCATATATATTAGATAAATAGACAATGAGTGTATATATCATATACATTATATATACAATCAATGAGTGTGTATATAATATATATCATATACACAGTCAATGACTATATATATCATACGTATATATACAGTCAATGACCATGTATATCATATATACAATCAACAAATTTACATATATCATATATACAGTCAATGAGTATATATCATATATTTCAAATATACAGTCAATAAGTGTAGATACATATATTTGATATATAGTCAATGAGTGTACATATCGTATACATTACATATACAACCAATGAGTGTATATATATTATATACACAGTCAATGACTATATATATCATACATATCATATATACAATCAATGAGGGTATATACCATATACATCATATATACAGTCAATGACTATGTATATCATATATACAATCAACAAGTGTATATATATCATATATAGAGTCAATGAGTGTATATATCATATACATCATATATATATATATACAATCAATGAGTGTATATATCATATATACAGTCAATGAGGGTATCTATCTATATGATATTTATATATATCATATATATCACATACAGTCAGTAGTTCAACTCCTCTGTGATTGTAGCCTCTCGCTCTCGTTCATACAGCTCTTGGATTCTTGTTACAGTGGAGGCTTGAACTGGAGGCCTGTGCTGATATACTCCTATTCAGGTAACTGTGTGGAGAAAACTGCGGTAAACAGTTTTACTGGGTTTGGAGGACTGGGATTCCTTTGCTTTAGAAACAGTGAGAAACAGTGAGTTTAGTCTTAATCTTTGTCAAATTAAGGAAAAACTGCAGGTCAATAAAAGTTGTGGCTGTAGTACACTGTCACCTTTACTTTGGCCACGAAACTGTAATTCATCTAGTAACTAACTTCACCGGTTGAGAGTTTGTGGCCATCTGGCTCAGTCTGCTTTCACCTCTGAAGCCATTTCAGCTGAGGCTGTTTGAAAAGGGCTTGTTTTGCCTGATGAACGAGAGCTGAGACGTCTTTTTACTCATTTTTCCCCAGAAAAGAAGCTGTTTTTCAGTCTGAAACCTGATGCCCTGGTGTGAGAATCCTAAAATGTACACCGTGACATACAGATGGCTTTTTGTACAGGCATTAAAGAGAGTTCTTCAAGGGTTCACTAGTAAAGGCAATGGTTCTTTCTAGAGCCATGATGCTTAATTTAATCCGTTTCTATGGTTTTTAGGCAGCTGAGTCAGCAGCATAGTTCACTACCAGCATAATGAGCTCCATTTATTTCTACTGTAAAACGCTGCTTTCACTGTGAGATGATTTTCTTTTCTAACTCTGCGTTTTAAAGATCTCAGACGCTGCAGACTCGATCTCCACCGCCCCTCTGATCACCTTCGTGTGTTAATGTTGATGATGAAATATTACAGTGATGGTGGTGAATAATGAGGAGACGGAGCTGAACGTGTGTCTGTTTATTAGGAGGAGTAACGTTAGCGCGCTCGGCTAAAGCGTTTGGGAAATGGAGACTGAAACTGGGGAGCGGCGACGCTCTGATAAACAGCAGGGGGCGCTCTCACAGTATTCACTACTTACAGTTTATCACACTTTAGTTTTGTTTTGACCTTTCTAACACCAGTAACTAACTGTAATAACATTTTTAACATTATTCTGATTATATGTTTTTACGTTTCAGCTGTGTGTGTCTGGTCGGTTGCTATGTAACAGACATGACAGTTGATTGTCTACTTCGATCAAGTAGATTAAGATATCCTAACTTGGATGGACTACGGATGGTTCAAAGGGTCAAACTAGGAAAATGCAAGTGGCGTTAATATTTTATTACATTAAGACATCACAAACTCAATACCTTTGATACCAATACTACAAAAACATACACACACTCTGTGATACTACAGCTCCTGAGACAGACCTTGACTGACCAACACTGTGTCAGTGTTTGTGTGTACTTGAAGACGTTTGTGTTTGTGTGTGAGTGACAGAGGAATGATGAGCAGGAGTGTAGAGTGTACAGTGTCATGTATATTGACAATATGTTACAGAAGATCTGTAGTTCATGCAAACACAAACAAACCTCTCATAAACATAAGCGTTAACAAAAATAAATATATTATAAGCAGATAAACATAAATACAGTAAAAGGTTCCAGTTTCTTATTTTGGATAAAGTGCACTTTTAAAAAAGAAGGTTCTTTAGTAAAGGGAATGGTTCTATTTATAACCTTAAGTTTCATAAGAACCATTTCATGCCTAATGGTTCTTTAAATGGTGAAATGGTTCGTCAGCTTGATGGAAATTATGTTGAATTGTGTTGTGCAAACCTTGAAGAACCATCTTTTTTACGAATGTAATGTTTAAAGAGCAGTTATTCAGAATTTGTGGCCAAAATAACAGAAACATGTCCTTTGTATATACATGCTTCAGTGCCAAAAACCAGCTGTTGCTTTGAAAAAGGAAATATTTTATTAAAAACTTCATATAATTGACAAAAAACTGCTGTAACTGCATTAGTTACCACAATGGATACAGTTGGCAAATTACGACAAAATCGATTTAATGCAGTGATCAGACAAGCCCTGAATCTCACACAGGAGAATGAAAAGTAGTAGTTTTGAGATTTATGGTGCATATTTGAGAATGTGTAAAAAATCACCTGGTCTGAAGGTTTGTTAAAACAGAAAAAAACAAAACGCAAAGAAAATTCTTGAATGCGAACGGCCATTTCTAGTGGACAAAATGTGAAATCTTGTGGCCAGGGGCATCGAGCACCGGGCAATATTGACCCCTGACCCCTTGCTTGCATATGGGGAAGAGACCTTCCCCTGGACAGCCAACACTTCCCAGTTCAGTTATCTGCATGAACTTTGTTGTTTGCATAAACTTTAATACACAATTTAGGAGAGGTAACATATGATTACACTGATCTGACGGTCAGTAAAGACATCTGACTGATAAATGCTCTCTGCCTTTGCAATACTTAGGAGCTGTTCGGGTCTGCTATGCATGCGGAATCGCGCTGGTTTATAACTGCCTTCAGTAGTGCTGGTGGAAAAGGTTAAAGCTCCCACGCTGCTGAGAAAGCAGCAGCCACGAAGACAGAGAAATCAAGACAGATAAATAATGCCATGTGAAAACAAGTTTCCAACATTTGTCCAGCATTTGTCTACACAGACTACTTCTGAGACACTGAGTGTGTTCACATGCACACCAATAACATGATTATCCGATTTTGGTAGTTAGTGGTCATGTAAACAGCACACACCGGTTTCTTAGACTGGATTAAGGTCATTATCGGATTTCTAGAAATTCAATAAAGAGGCTGGATCGAGTCAGTAATGGGGTTTTTCAGTGCATGTAAACTCTCACTCTGATTTCTTTCGTTTTTCTCAGTCTGTGCCTGTGTGGAAACAGCGCCGTCCTGGAAACAGCAAGCAGCGTTTAACACAGCACCCGCGAGACACAGCACAGCACTTTTAGAGCGATGCTGAAACCAACTACATGCTTAAATAAAGAGTTTAAATATTCTTCATGTTCTAGATGATGTTTATTCATATTCACTGCTAAAGTGACTCAATGTCACTTGCCACGGCTTAACGATGAGTTTGCATTATGTTATTATTATGTGAGTTTACTGGCCGGTTGCAAAGCA